GACCATAATGTTAAAGGAGTAGCTTGAGTCTGTCCCATAACGTCCGTCCAGTAAGTCCAGAGAAAACAGGAAAAAAAAAAACACAAACCCAGACAAATACAGTCTTCCTACTCTGTTTTGGCAAAACCAAAACAACCTTCCGACTCCATGGAAGCAAAACTACAAATTAGGCGATGGCCATGCACCACTCGTCTCAGATTGACGGGTTTCTCGGCCCCTCCAGATGGAGGATCAGGGCGTCCCCCACCTCCTCCCACCCATAGTCCCCCAGTGCATCCACCTTGGCCTTTAGGGGAATACAGATTTCAGAAGTGAGCTCATACAGGACAGAACACAGAATAGAATAAACAACATATAGACACTTACCGCGGTCAGTCAGACTCTCCGGATCGGGCTTCCTCGCGGGTCTTGGGGGTCCCGGACGAGTCCCCAAATGTTATGCCCAGATTTCAAGATCCCCCAAGACAGACCACTAGGGAGCTGAGTCCAATGCAAAAGCATAGGGTCATTTATTCAAGCCCGGGACTTGGTCCCCCCCCACCCTGCTTCCATTACTGGATGCAAGAGAGAGCCCCGAATCCCAAGGGAACAAAGAATTTATAGGGCTTGGGGTCAGAGTGGGGACACACTCTGACCACTGATTTGACCGATTCTGGTTGGTTGAGTGAGGGCCAGGGGCTAGTGATGCAAGGGCAGGGTGCAGCTAGGGTCTGGTTACACAAAGATGGGGTTGGCTAGCATACTCTTGGCCTTGGGCTAGTTTCCCCCGCTTTCCCATTGGCTGAGATAAGGGCAGGCTGAGTAACTGATACATTCTGTGGCTTTCCTGGGAGAGGAGTTAGAGACACAGCTATCAGTTCCATTCTGTCCCTTCAAACCTTCACCATGGCGGTCAGAGGGCAGGAGGGCTGGGGCTCAGGCCAGACAGCAGCCCCTGACTCCAACCATGGCGATTGGAGGGTGGGCCGGACGGAGCGCAGACCAGGCAGCAACCCCAGACCCCAGCATGGCAATCAGAGGGTGGGATGGCCAGAGTGCAGGCCAGACAGCATCCACGGACCCCCACCATGGAGTTCAGAGGGGGGGAGGGCCGGGGCTCAAGGCAGGCATCAACCATGTACCCCCACTGTGGAAATTAAAGGGTGTGAGGGCCGGACGCAGGCTAGGCAGAAACCCTGGATCCCCACCATGGCAATCAAAGGGAGGGAGGGTTGGGGTGCATGCCAGGCAGCAGCCCCTGATCCCCCCCATGGAGATGGGAAGGCAGGCTGGCTGGAGCGCAGACCAGGCATCAACCCTGGAATCCCAACATGGCAACCGAAGGGCGGGATGGCCTGAGTCCCTCAATCGCCATGGCTATTGGATGGTGGCAGGGCTGTATTGCAGGCCAGGAAGCAACCATGGTCCCCTGGGTGCCTGAGTTGCTGGCTGGCCTGCTTTTTGCAATCGCCATGGCGATCTAAGCCGGGAAGGCCAGAGCGCAGGCCAGGCATCAACCTCAAACCTCCCACATGGCGTTCGGAGGGGAGGAGGGCCGGGGCTCAGGCCAGGCAACAACCGCGACCCCCCACCATGGAAATCAAAGGGCGTGAGGGCCGGACACAGGCCAGGCAGCAACCCTGGACCCCCACAATCACGATCGGGGGTGGGAGGGCCGGAGTGCAGGACATGCATGAACCCTGGGCCCCACAATGGGAATCAAAGATGTGAGGGTTTGTGCGCAGGCCAGGCAGCAACTGCAGACCCAACCATGGCAATCGAAGGGCGGGAGGGCCGGGACGCAGGCCAGGCAGCAATCCCAGAACCCCACCATGGCAATCGAGGGCAGGAGGGCTGGAGCGTAGGCCAGGCAGCAACCCCAGGCCCCCACTATTGCAATCGAAGGTCAAGATGGCCTGTGTCCCTTTTCGCAATGGCTATCGGAAGACGGGAGGGTGGTATTGCAGGCCAGGCAGCAACCGCAGAGCCCGGGGGCCAGAGTTGCCTGCTAGCCTGCATCTGGCGATCCCCATGTAATCGGAGGCGAGGAGGCCATAGCGCAGGCCAGCCATCAACCCTGGGCCACCAACATGGCAATCGAAGTCCAGGAGGGCCGGGGCACAGGCCACGCATCTACTCTGGACACCCACCATGGCAATCTTAGGGCATTAGGGCTGGGGCGCAGGTCAAGCAGCAACCTTGGACCCCCACTATGGCTATCGAAGGGTGGGAGGGTTGGAGAACAGGCCAGGCAGCAACCCCAGACTCTCGCCATGGCAAGGGGAGGGCGGGATTGCCGGAGCACAGCCCAGTCATCAACCCTGGACCCCCAACATGGCATTCAAGGGGCGGGATGGCCTGCGTCCCTCGATCACCATGGTGATCAGAGGGCGGGAGGGCAGTGTTGCAGGCCAGGCAGCCACCGCGGACCCCCGCCATGGCCATATCGGAGGGTGAGGGCCTGAGCAAAGGCCATGCATCAATCGCGGACCCTCACCATGGCAATTGAAGGGTGGGAGGGCTTGGGCGCAGGCCAGGTAGCAACCCGGACCGACACCATGCCAATCGAAGGGCGGGAGGGCTGGTGTGGAGTCCAGGAAGCAATCATAGACCCCTGGGTGCCTGGGTTTCTGGGTGACCTGCTTTCAGCGATTGCCATGGTGATCAGAGAGCAGGACAGTCAGAGCTCAGGCCAGGCATCCACATCAAACCTTCACTATGGTGATCGGAGGGCAGGAGGGCCAGTGCGCAGGTCGGGCAGCAACCACAGATCCCCACCATGACAATCAAAAGGTGAGAGGGCCGGATGCAGGTCAGGCAACAACCCTGGACACCCACCATGGTGATCGAGGATGGGAGGGCCAAAGCACAGGACATGCATCAACCCCGGGCCCCACCATGGGAATTGAAGGGCGTTAGGGCTTGAGCACAGGCCAAGCAGCAACTGGGGATTCCCACCATGGCAATAGAAGGGCGGGATGGCTTGCGTCCCTCAATTGCCATGGCGATCGGAGGGCGGGAGGGTGGTATTGCAGGACAGGCAGCAACCACAGACCCCTGGGTGCCGGGGTTGCTGCTGGCCGGCTTCCGGTGATCACCATGTGGATCGGAGGGTGAGAGGGCCAGAGGGCAGGCCAGGCATCAAC